AATAGCATGCAAACAGGACGTAGCGTAGACAATTAATGTCACTATTTGCGAAGGCTTATTCCCGGTGCATGTAACGCGTAGCCGCAGTAACGTTCTATATTTGTCGATCATAGGTTTAACACACAGAGAGAGAGAGAGAGAGAGAGAGAGAGAGTTGGTTAGGAAACTCGACAAACATATGATACCGATCAGACGATGTGTAATGTAGAGGCCGTAGTCTCCTGTGTAATAACCTCGTTTTTGAAAATTGTTATACACTGTTCGTTCGTAAATGGTTACGAGAGTAGCTCGAGAAACGAGAAAGAAAATAATTTGTTAACGAGCTATCATCAATCGAGGTCCTTTAACGACATCATAGGAAATATTCTGTTCGGGTGATATTGAAATAAACGGATTCACTTCACTTTACCGTTTAATAATTCGATTACGGGTCGATGCTTCAGCGGCATGTTTGAAAAAAAATATCACGTACGATGGGGGCCGTTTCGAATATTTTTTTATTTACTGTCTTTCTCCCTTTCTTTCTCTCTCTCTCTCTCTTTCTATATATATATATATATATATATATGTATATATGTATATATGTGCAGCTATCTTTTTTTTTGGAGAGAGAGAGAAAGAGTATTCGAAAAGATGTACTCTTTTTTTTTGAGTATATTTTTCTATAGTAATTTTTTTTTCTGTCGTTTTTTTTTCCTCTTTTTACAATTTTCGTTTCAGCGAGTAAATGTTGAAGGTACAGGTGTTTTTTAGGATCTATTGGGTAACGTCAAATGTGTTTAAATTATTCGACGACCTTTCGCCAACTACTAGCCACATTATATGATATTAATTTCCTGTCGGCCTTTGTCATCCCAACCGTTCTTCGCGTAACACGAAGTTCTTTTATTTTCTTTTTTTCTCTCTCTCTCTCTCTCTCTCTTTCTCTCTCTCGCTTGCACTTGCTCTCATTTACTTAAATTTCTCTCATGAAACTAAAAAGTGTGCATTAATGTGATTTATAGCTCGATAAATCAGTCCTCCACCGGCCGCGTCGCGGCCTTGGAGGCCGTAATTTCGCAGAAAAAGAAGTTTCTCGGTTATCCAGAATTTTACTTTTCTTCCCTTTATTCGTGGAAAATTTTCACCTTACGTTATGGTGTAAGAAAAGGAAAAAAAAGGAAATATAAAGAAAATAAAGAGAAATAAAGAGAGAAAGAGGGAAACAGACAGAGCGAGAGAGCGAGAGAGACAGAGCGAGAGAGAGAGAGAGAGAGAGAGAGAGAGATCAATACTTATTTTTATCTTAAAATCGAGCACGCTTTTATTCTTTGACATTTAACGTGACATACGTGACACCATCAAAATTATTCGAATAGTGGTATACTCGACAATATCGATTTTTTCGCCGTGAACGATATCTATTGGAAATAACACGATTTCAAGTTTAATTAATCTTGTCAAATACTATGGTGAATGTAAATATATACAAATACGTATATACATACATACGTTAACGTGTGCAAATATAGCATAGAAACGTATGTACATACGTACGTGTTTTATTCGTAAGTGAATCACAGATCGACAATTTATAAAATGTACAACAGCATTCGCTCGTTATACGAAATACGAGAAGAGTTTGATATCTTGTTGAAAATGCGTCTATCGACGACAATTAGTACCGATAAAATCGACATAGTTAATTACTTCCAATTGTTCGTTTGACATTAAATCCTTCGATGGTGGAGGAGTTATATTATTAGGGTAGAGAAACTATAGATGGTATGGGAGAGGGGTTAAAACGATGAGAGGAGGGAGGGTGCAGAGAGAGAGAGAGAGAAAGAGAGAGAGAGAGAGAAAGAGAGAGAGAGCTTACAAGGCGCGCAAGAATATTCGTTAAATCTCGCGATATTTCAACGAGAAGGGGTAGTGGGATTTCTGTTGGTGGTGGTGGTGGCAGCAGCAGTAGTGATGGTGGTGGTGGTGGTGATGGTAGTAGTAGATATATTCGAGCCTCCGCCATGGATTAACGTCGAGCATGTCCCGACCTCGGCTAACTTTTCACTCCGATGAAACTTCGTGAGAGGTCTACCAGCCCTCTTGGGAACTTTAATTAGCTCTCAAAACCTCCTGACTCACTTGGAGGAAAATTTTTATGACTGACGGCCACCCCCTTCCTCCCTCTTTCTCTTTCTCTTTCTCTTTCTCTCTCTCTCTCTTTCTCTCTCTCTGTCTCTCTCTTATTCAACCATCCTTTCTCCTCATCCTTCTTTTTCTTCTAACTTTGCCCTCCATTAATGTTCGGACACGCGTTTTCTCCCAAATATTTGATTTACGAATATTTATTTACGTATGTACGGGTATTTAATAAATTTTCATTCATACTAATCGCTAATGCTCGTTCTTCACTTATTGTTCTCTCGAATCATTTCTTTTCCTTATTCTTCTTCTTTTTTCTTGTTCCTTTTTTTTCCCTTTCCTATTTTTTTTTTGTGTTTTCAAATACGTTATCGTATATTTTTTTATAAATGAATGATCTCAATGTTTGCAAGTGTTGGTGTTATTTTTTGTTCCTTCTTTCTTTCCTTTTCGTGTTCTTTTTTTTTTTTTGTTTTAACGTAACATTATTAGTTCATAATTATGGAATATGTATTTATTTATTCTTGGCTACATGCTTTATTGATTTCATTTTATTTCATTTCATTTCATTTCATTTCATTTCATTTTTTTTTTCTTTTTTTTAACTTCCATACTTCTGTGACAGTGTATGTGTGTGTGTGTGTGTGTGTTGTTCTTTTTTTGCTTCTTTCTTTTCTTCTTATGATCTTTAGTTACAATGGTGTACATTGAATATAATTTATGAGGTAATTAGAATTAAAAGATTTTTTTTATCTTAATGATAACTGTAAGGGATGAAAAATATATAGATATAAAAGAAGAATGAATGAGAGAGAAAGAGAAAGAGAGAGAGAGAGAGAGAGAGAGAGAGAGAGAGAGAGAGAGAGAGAGAGGAAGAGAGAAAGAGAAAGTGTCTGTTAACAATAGGTAGGTACGAGATTTTTATGTTCCCGGGGCGTCTATAATTCGTACACGTTGAAAACTTTTGATTAGCCAGGATATTTTATGAACTCACCTAAGTCCACTTCTTATAAGCTTTTTTTTTTTTACTCTTAGCCCTTCTTTATTCTCCAAAGTTTTCTTTTAAAAAGGACCGAATAAAAGTTTGAAAAGATGAAAAATACGAGAGTTCAATTTATCGTATGATTTCAATACGAATCTTTTTGTTATTATTATTTCAAACAAAGGGAAAAATTCTTTTTTTTTTTTTTCTATTTTATAACATTGTAATTTTTCTTAATATTGAAAAATTCTGACAATACGTGTATACGTATATAAATACATACAAATATATATATATATATATATATATATATATATATATATATATATATATATATCCTTGATGGCTTCGTAATTTCGAGATGACCGCAATGTGCTTGTACTAATTATTCATCTATGCTGACATACACGTTAATGAAAAAACTTTTTCCGTTGGGAAGAATAGGCAACGGTCGAAAGGGTATCAGCAGAGAGAAAGAGAGAGAGAGAGAGGAAAGAGAGGAGAGAGAGAGAGAGAGAAGCTGGCAGAGGAAGATCAAGAAGAAGGGGAGTAAAAAATTCAAATGAAGTCAACTTCGTGGCTTCATTCAGCCTCGGTCAGTTTATTTATATATATATATATATATATATATATATATATATATATATATATATATATATATATATATATATATATATATTTCTCTTTCTCTCTCTCTCTCGTACGACTTTAACAAAAAAGAAAATATACCGGATAGCAGAGTTAACTTTTGCCAGATAGCAAAAGAAGAGATTTTCATATTTTAACCGCACATTCGGTTTTCCATGCCGCAATTTTCATTAGCTCGTACTAGAAAAGAGTTATCCGATGAAAATATACAGGATGAGTGGTTTCAAATGAAAATATTATTTGTTTCTGTTTTTCTTTTCTTTTTCTATTTCTTTTTCTCTTTCTTTTCTTTTCTTTTCTTTTTCTGTTCCAATAAAAATTGAAACGTACGTAAAAACTAAGATACAAAAATTTACTTCGTTCTCGATAACATTGCACACAACTTTCATAATTCTTTTATTTATTTATTATATATAGATATATATATATTTTTTTTCTTCTTCTCTTCTTCTTTTTCTTTCTCTTATATCTCGAATTAAACAAATTTGTACGATGAGAAAATATGATAACGAGTGAACGTACTCATTGCAAATAATAATACATCTCGTAATATATACATATAAAATATACGCGTATATATGTATTTATGTATATACGGTATAAACAAGGCTACGGTGGGGTGCGGCGGCGGGAGGGTTGAAGAGGAGAGAGGGGCATGAGTTTCTCGACAGTGGCATAGAGAAAAGGATAAAGTTTGTCGGTGTAAGCTAACTGACCCGGTTTTTTTCATCAAGTAATTACCAACCTCGTGGCACGCCGTCGTCCCTCGCCGTCGTACGTTTTACATTTCCATGCCGCACTCTATTCGATTCAATCCACGAATTTTCTACCGCGAGCTTTTGAATCAGTGTGCGAGAGTCACTTTTAGTAATAATAATAATAATAATAATAATAATAATAATAATAATAATAATAATAATAATTATTATTATTATTATTATTATTATATAATTATATTAATAATATTTAATAATATAATTAATTATATAAATAATTATATTTAATAATAATTATTATTATTATATTAATATTATTATTATTATTATTATTATTATTATTATTATAATGAAAAAAGAGGAGATGAATGAACGAACGAACGAACCAACGAACGAACCAACGAACGAATGAACGAACGAACGAACGAAGGAAAGAAAGAAGGAAGGAAGAAAGGAAGAAAAATAAACACGAAAGGTCAGATAGAGAAAGTATGTTTGTATCGTGCGACTCGTCGTCGGTTTCGTGAGTCACA